AGGAGATTTAGGATGCTTTAGCAAGTGGTGCTGCAGAGGAAGCAACACTGCAGTGACTGAGTGTCCTCTTGAATAAGGGTATTCTCTAACAAGGCTTCCTGTCCTGCTCCAGTAGTCTGGGCCACTCTATCTCTGCTGTGGGAAAACAAGAACTATGTTTGTTTGGTCCATGATCCAGTTGCGTCTCATTCACACAACCCTTCCCTGCTGCAGGTTTAGGTTGTATTCAGTCTTATTAATTTTCTAAGACTTGTCAACCATATTGCTTAACTGGTAAATACAGCCTTGCTTATCACAGCAGAGCCTAGTGATCAAATTAGCCTCTTCCCCTCAAAGGAGGGGAAATCTACTGGAGTTTTACTCCTGTGCAAATAAAATTATTTGACCCTTATTAGCACCTCCCACTCTGCAGTATATTAATTATCCAGTTCCACTGTCACATAGAGAAGTACTACTATTTGCCATTTTACAGAATTGAGGAACATTGAGGCTAAGTAGTTTTCTCAAGGTCATAAAAGAAGCTGGTGGAGCAGACAGTTGAACAGTGCCCTTGTTCCCCTGCTTTACCTATGGTGTTGTTAATGTTCTCGAGCAATGTACCTTGTGTGACAGAGGTTTTTTGTGTAGTTTTAAGAATAGGTTAAACAAACCCCTATATAGGAAAGTTTGGATAGGGATGGTCCTGTGTTGAGCAAGAGGCTGGAGTAAATGACCTGTTGAGGTCCCTTCTGACCTTATTAGTTTATAATTCTCTGAACAGTTGTCTTCTGAATCTTGGGCTAGTCCTTATCCACCGGCTATCCTTCCTCACATTGCACCTTTTTTGGAGGGAGGAAATATTTAAATTTTTTTAAGTTTAAAACCCATATCGTAGGCCTGGAAGTCTGAGATACTCCTTGTATGACTCTTGATAGCATCAGGACACCTGGGATTACAAGCACTGTAGATTTGCTGTGCCTTTAAACCTCAAATTCATCTCATCATGGGGAGCCTATCAGTGAGGACTGCAGGGCATTCCAATGTCAATGGAAATAAATTACTAGGGAAGATTAAGAATATTATTTTTCAGGAAAATTATCCCCATCTCTAAAGGCTTTGCTTAAGAGGATTTTTTAAAAGCGCTTATTTGCGGGAAGTTTTAAATATGGAGATTATTAAAATACATCATCAAGCTATTGCTGAAATGCTAATAGGAAAAAGGTGTTTTAACCTGGGATGATGAAAAAGGGTAAATTATTTCCCTTTGTATTCAGATCTTTTAATATTTTTCCTATTGAACAGCATGAGACAGACGGACATAAAAAACCTGCTGCTGTTAGCAGAGTCCAGCCAGAGCTACATAAACAAATAGAAGCCTCTTGCGGAGATTCAGAACCTCCCAGGAAAGATGCTTGTACTTCCACGGAAGCTTATGAAGAGCTGCTAAATAGGAGACAGCAGGAGGAGGGCAGGTATCGCAGATCAGATGATGAAGCTGAAGTAAGAGAGAGAATATTGCAGAAAACACTTGATGAGGAACTGGACATTTTCAATAGGAAGCATCACAGGTTTGCTAACAAACCTGACATTACTGTTCGAAGACATCACAGATTTGATGAGGATTTTGATCTTGATAGAAGATACCACAGACCTGATTATGATCCTGAAGTAAATGAGGAAATGGACTCTAGATTTAGATATGAAAGCAACTATGACAAAAAGCCTCTGAGGTTTTTCAATGCTGAAAGGTATTTAAATTTTATTTTCTACTTCTTCACACTTTTGAACCTTATTCACAGATATAGGTAGAATGATTTTGGCCTCCTGAGAATCATTTAAGCCAGTGAAGGGTTGGCTTATTAGACTTCAGCATCAGGTTTAAAATACTTAAATTTCCTATATTCACAGGCTCAAGCTTGAGGAGTTTTGTTTCTTCTCTTGATCCTTTTGAAGCTGATGAACTTTAATGTTATGCTGCTAGTTATGGGTGGATTTTTCAGTTGAGACCAAAGTGAGGTCCTTTTTTGTTTTTGCTTTTAGTGAATGTTAGATTCCATCATGCATTGTGGTTTTCCCTCATTTTTCCCTCCACAACATTGAAGTAACCAAAACTCTCTCCCCTGCTTTTGTGTAATGGGTTCTGTCATAGCTGTATGCTTAGAGATGGATAATTAGCTGGTGTTTAACTGGATTACAGCTGTTTCTGCCTATAGTAATAGTTCCTGCATTTAAATTGATTCCTGATATAAAGATACCAAACTTTCTGTTTTTGGCTCCAGCTAGACTTTCCAGGAGGATCTGGAAAAAAATACCGTGTTCTAAGTGGACCCCATATTTTCAATTTTTGGAAAAGCAGCTTTTATCTTAAATATAAGTTGATAACTTACAGATAAAGACCTAGATGTGCCATTGCCTTTCTAAAATCACACAGGAGAATCAAATAACTGAGGAAACAACTCAAAGGTTAAATGTACTAAAGGTTAAATGTACTAAAAAATCTAAAATGAAATGGCCTTGAAAAAAATGACTTGGTATTTTTATTGCATGTGCAAATGTCCTGTAAATACAAAAGTCAAGACTATAGGAGACCTGATTATAGGTTGACCCCATGTTTGAGTTGATTGCCCTTTTTGTGGCTCGGTTGGAGAAAAGAAATGCTAGACTTAAAATCAGAAAAACACAATGAAGACTTGCAAAAAGTCAGAAGCTTCAATCTAATTCCCAAGTTAAATTGAGCCTATGACAATTTGTACCCATTGAAGTTCAGACCTCAGGAGTATGCATTTCTTTTTGAATGAAGAAATGCATTTCTGATTGAATGTAGTACAGGGGCGGGCAATTATTTTGGGTGGAGGGCCACTTACTGAGTTTTGGCAAGCCATCGAGAGCTACATGGCAGGCAGCCAGGAGCAGATGCATATTAATTTTATAAATTTTTTTAGGGGCCCCATGGGCCGGATAGAATAGCCTGGTGGGCCGCATGCGGCCCGCGGGCTGTGTTTTGCCCACCCCGATATAGTATCATACTTAACTGGCTTAACTGATTTAGGTCAAACTGGTGTATGAGACTTCTGTCCCAGATTCCTCCTGGTTCATGTTAAATCAGAGTCCCCCAGCATGCTTTGTAGTCATAGGCTGGACTGTACTGACTGCTCCAGAGTGCAGGGTTGGCTGGCTCACTACTGTGCCGCGCCTCCCCACCCCCCCCAGTAAACCCTAGCTGGGAACTGGGGCCAGGGAGGGGGGGTTAAACACACCTTTTGCCAAGTACAGTCTCGTCCTGCCCTGCTGGCTTACTTAGTGCTGGCTGTGACTGTGGACTACAAATCCCAGAGGTACCTGGAAACAGGAAGAGGAAGTGATGAGCAACTCTGCTGCAGAGTCCTGCTGCTGTGACTGTGGACTGCAAATCCCAGAGACCTCAGGGGAAAGAGAAAGAGGAAGTGAACACACAGCTAATGCTGGCTGTGTGCCACAGAGTCATGCTCTAGCACCCCCCCTGGCTTCTGGATTGAGCAGGCATTTAGCTGCATTTCATGAATCAAAAGTGATTGCTTATTTGCTTATTGGTTCAGTCTTTTCAGCTTAGACTAACCTGCAAAGACTGAATCAATTCAGCCTCGGGCTTCTTGACTGTCTGTACTTTGTCCAAAAGTATGAGGTGTAAACCCTCTGTTACAATGCCCAATATGCCCAAGCTTTCCAACGGAACAACTATTTATAGAGGAGAAGGGGGGAAAAAGATGCCAAAAGCTATACCATCTGTTTGCAAGGGTAGTCACACTCTAACTCTGGTATGGTATGGACAGCTACCTGATGATGACGATGAATAAGACCCCAAGCAGGAGGAGATTGGCCAGGACATCCAGACCACTTAGGACAGTGGTCTCCAACCTTTTTAAGTAGGAGATCAGCTTTGGCATTTAAAAACAACCAAAGACCTACAGTATGCCCCTGACCCAGCGGGTAAATCTGTGGGGAGGGAAGGAGGGGTACAGATCGAGGTAGAGGAAGAAAAAATCATTTGGTGGTGTGCACCCCCAGCAGGTAAGTCTGTGGGGAAAGGGGCAGGAGAGGGGAAAGGGCTTTGGCGGGGGGCAGATCGAGGTCTCAGCTCTAGCCCTACTTCCTCCCTCATCACTGGGGTCTTGATCTGCCCCCCCATGGTGGTGAGAGAGGGAGTTGGGCTAGAGCAGGGGTAGGTTCTGCACAACCAGGGCCCAGGATGGAGCATGAGTGGCTCATCTGCGGGGTGTGAGGCGGGGGGGAGCACACCCCCAGGAGGGCATGGGGGGTGTGTGCCTTCAGACCTGCATGCTGGCCAAGCCAGCTGCCACTGCAGACTGGGGCTGGAAGGCAGCACTGCGCTTTTCACGGTGGAGAGCTAGGCCGTGTTATGCTTGGGCCTGGTGGCAGTAGCAGTGCTGGGAAGGGGCACTATGGTGTGGGTATGGCGAATTTTTGGTTGCCTGCAGCCCCCTGTGTAGCCCCATTTTTTGCGCCGCTGCTGCCCGGCCCGAGTACAGCCATGGTCCCATCCAGCAGCATTAGCCGACCTGGCTGGCATGCAGATCCAGGGGCACATGCCCCGCCTCCATCGTGTGCCCTATACATGAGCCGCTTGCGGTTCCATCCCATACCCTGGTTTTGCACACATAGTGATCAGAAAAAAAGAATCTTTTTGGAAAAAGTATTTACCTATTTTTCCCCAATGTTTTTTTTCTTCTTCTAAGTTCTAGGAACAATTCAGATCTGAGATACATAGATGCAGTTAAATCCTCCCTCCTTTTTCCACCCCACCCCAAAGAATGTTTTACAACCATGCATAATTTGAAGTGTATGAAAACTGCCATTCCACTTCACTGCACTTAAGTGCTTTGCTGAATCAATGCGCAGAGGCATAACTAGGAAGTTCTGTACCCTGGACAGTGGCTGCCATTCTTGTGCCCTTTTCAGTCTGCCCTACTTACACACTGACAGTATCATGAGTGTGGTACCTACAGATGTTGTCATAGAAGCTTTGTGAGAAAACAGTTTTGCTACTGAGTTCTTTCTCAAACGTAGAAGTTCTCTGCAGCAGCTATGATTTCATAAGATCTCCTCTCATAAACGGTTAACATAAAAGTAATTTAAATATTTTATGCTTTGGATTGTCTTTAAGCAAAGGCTTTAAAATCTGATCTCTTTTATTTTTTTTTGCCCAGAAATCAAGCAGACAACAATTCTCCAACCAGTGAACAGGCAAAATCAGCCATAGGTAAGGATGGCATTCCATATGCAACAGGACTCATTCTCGGTATGTACAAATACCCAGCTAATGATTAGTCTGAATTGCGGTATTTATTATAAAAATAATATCTGTTGAAGCTTAATATTATGTGCTTCTTTCTTATGGAGTAATTGATGTTACTTAGATTTTCCTTGCAACATATCTGTGTGCTTGGCAAACATCCAGTAAGTTAAAAGGAGAAAATGAAAAGGAAAAGACAACAAAGTCCAATTACTTTTCCTCAATGACACGAGGTATTTGTGGTTCCTCTCCAGTATGCAGATGGTAACTTTGGGATGTTTATGGTAGCAGACACCCAAACTGATTTCCAGATTTCTCAGATAAATGAATGAAAATAGTGGAGATGTTTCACAAAATTTAGAAAATCACATTTTTTAAAATAAATTTGGGTAAGTAAAATATTGGAATATTCACTACATTTCATTAAATTAGGATTAAAACTGTGGAAAAAATGGAAGACAGTTGTCAGAATAACTTATTTTTTAAACAATATAGATACCTAATGAATTAAATCTTTAAATGAAGATTGTATATGTTGGAGAGCAGAAATAAGCTGTTATCCACCATAATAATTTTTTCAAGACTTGTATGTAAGACTTTGGTAGGTTCAGCTTTGCACCTTGACTAGTGATTTTTTTTTTTTTTTTTTTTTTTTTTTTTAAAGAATAAAAATGCATTTCTTGAGAGAGGTACATGTTAGACTGAAAGTGCTAGAATAGCAAATTCTTGATCAGGTGTAATCTGTGGATAGCCTCTGACTAATATGTTCCTTGGAGTAGAGCAATGTAACACTTGATTGTTACTACCTTATTCTGATAGTCTAAACTATTAGTCTCTTGCCATAGTAACTGAGTATTCCACAAACAAACCTTCACAGCACGCCTTAAAGGTAAGGAGGCATTGTTAGCTCCACTTGACAGATAAGGATCCGAGGCATAGAATCATTCAATAAATAGGGCTGTGTGAAGCTTCGGTCCCTGACTTGATTCAGCAGAGATATGGCCTGATTCGGCAGCCGAATCTCCAAATGGAATTGAAAGACCCTTTAGTCTCTCCGAATCGAATTGGAACCCTCCGAATCTATTTGGAAAGATTCCATGATTCGGACATAGACACAACTTTAAATGTTTTTTCTACGTACCTCAGGGTACCAGGCGGCTCATGAATGCCGCAGTGGTGGGGCGGATGGAGCGTCCCACAGGAGCGTGGGGTGGGCTCCCCAGCACGCTCGGCAGCAGACCCAAAAGTGGACGAGAAGCACTTCCGGTCCACTGCCGGGTCTGGTGGGCAGTGTGTGTATGGGGGAGGGGGGGAGCCCCTCCGAACCCCCCCCCCCCCCCGGCTTGGCAACTGGTGCCTCCTGGGTCTGGGGCGGCAATCAGGGTCCCCCTGCGGGCAGTCGCCAAGCCAGGGGGGACACGGGAGCCCCCCACACGTGTGGAGCATGAGGGGGACCCCCCCCCATGCTCCTGTGGGACTCACCATCCACCCCAGCATCTCAGTGTTCAAGAGCTGTGCCTAGTACCTCGAGGTATGTAGAAAAAACATTTAAAGCTGCTTCTATGACCAGATCACTGATTCTCCAAATCCGTGTCAAATCTTCAGATTCAGATTCAGCCAAATTGAATCAAATCACTGTCCCTGATTTGGGCTGAATCTGAATCCGAATCAAATACATCCTGTTTTGTACACCCCTAATAAATAGCATAATGTTGTACTTAAAATCTGTATTTCAGACCTGAGAACTGAGTCTGGGTAAAAAATAAATCTTGGTTCAGTGCCTTAACTATTTTTGCCTCTTTTACCATCAGAGTATAAAATTATTTGAATTTTTTTTGTCACAATCACCTTCCAAATGGCTCTTTCATTGGCATTCCAGACTTCTCTATTTTATGTTTGGTTGCTTTACTTCATTGGAGAGCAATGCCTCTTGTAGAATGGTGGGGGAAAAAGTGCTGAGGGGCCATTGAACCATTGTATAGGAAGGTTTCTAGTGTATTTATAAACACTCTACATTTTTTATTAGTTTTAAATTCCAGAATAAGATCAAGTGGAAACGGCCAAAATTTCAAATGTTTTAATCATACAAAGTACTGGTAAGGTGCAGTACTATGGAAACTATCTCTAAGTATTAAAATTGCCTTAATTCTTATAGTTTCCAACTCTTGCTTTCAGTTTAAGCTTTGGTTTTAATTCAGAACATAATTGCATGTGAATGTACCTGTTGGTGCTCTTGAGAATGCCTAGAGGATTATTTATTTTAATTTTTTCATATAATTTTTACCTGATTTTTTTTTCTCCCCCATTCCCATCCACCTCCAAATGCTACACCAAGTATAAAGTTGATTTTAAATAACTAAAATAGAATACCTGACTATTTTCAAGAGACAAATAAAAGATCAGATTTCAGCATTTCAAGGGTAGAAAAAACAAAACAAAAAAACCTATTTTTTTTTTTTTATCAGTAGCTGTGAAGTTGCACAATTTTTAAACAAGCTCCAAAATGCAGGTTTCCATATTCCGCTGTGCTTTTTTTTTTTTTCTGTTCAGGTGAAATTAGAAAGTATTAGAAGAGTAAAGATGTGTATGTAACTTTCACAGAAAGTTCATGCTGACTTCCCCCTCTGTTAGGTGGTCAGGACCAGGAACTTATTCAGAGAAGGAAAGAAACGTACAGACAGGAGCTCATGGAACAGATGGCTGAGCAACAAAGAAATAAGAGATGGTAATTTGTAATTTGATCAAATAAAGGCTAAAAGTAAAGGCAAAAGTGGATTTTGTAAAGGCTTTTGAATGTATGCAAACTTTTTCCCCTTAGACATTGTGGAATTATATTACTGTATGTACTTGAATCTAAGACATGGGCGACTGGTGCCTCCTGAGTCTGGGGGGGCACCAGGTCACTGATGGGGAGAGGTCCCCCAGCAGCCAATTGCTGACCCAGCAGCGAAACCAGAACTGTACTTCCGCTGGTGCTTCCAGTTTCGGGGCTGGATTTCCAGGGGGTGCACGGCTGATCTCGAGGGGTGCATGTGTATCTGTATGCACCCCTATGCATTGCCAGTGATCCAAGATGAGGAGTTTTTCCCCCAATCAGCATGGGATGGGGAAGTCTTGTCTTGCAGTACCAACCAGGGGCAGGCACGAGCTTATCTCCAGCATTGGCCTCAGGCTTGGGGCTGACGCCAGAGCTGAGCCACCACCTGTACCTGGCAGGAATTACTTATTTGGCGGGAAAGGGGCATGTGGTGGAGGGCAGGTGGGGGAGACAGCAAGGGGAGAACCTGCCACTTGCTCCTTCCCCCCTTGTCCCCTGTACCGGTGCCTGTCTGCCTCCTCCTCCTCCCTTTACTTTTATCTTTTGCTCCACCTTCAGTCCCTCCAGTCCCTATCCTGCTTGGCCAGGATCTGCTACCACTTCTCCCTGGCTGGGCTGGGCTGGGCTGGGCTGGGCTGAGTCCAAGTCAGGGCTACCACTGTTGCTGACTGACCAGGAGGAGCAGAGCTGCAGCAGAAGGTAAGGCTGCAAGGAGGAGCAGGGGGTGGGAGGGCAGGCTCCAGGGGACAATGGGTGGAGGAGTAGGCTGCAGGGGGGAATGGGGTGAGGGAGGCAAGGAGTTGGGGGGCAGGGACAGGCATCAAGAGGGCATGTGGTAGGGGGATACATAGCAGAGGTCAGGCACATGGTGGGACAAGAGGCAGAGAAGCAAGGGATGGGGTCTGGCCCCTCCTCACCTGCTGCTGCTTTCCCTGCCACAGCAGTGGGCAGGATGAATTTAAGAGAATCCACAACTAATTAGATTCTGTACATAGAAAATTATAAAAGATTAATCATCTTAAATTTACTTTGGAGTAAATTACGCTGAATTTTGCTCCACAACAAGGCAGAGGGGCACATGATCAGCTTTTTCAAGCTGGCTGCTTGAAGTGACCTCTATTACAGCATCTGATCACTAGATGGAAGGAGATCCAGTTTGTGCTGAGCAAATTGCTACCATGGAATTAAATTGACCATGGTAGTGGAAACATGACACAAATAAAAAGTATCTTTTCTGGTCCAAATTTCCTCATGACTGACTTCTTCAGAAGTAACTTAATACTGCCATGGCTGCCTTTTTGCATCTTTGCATCTGTATCTATGCTGGTTTCTTTGCCCCTCACTTTTTAATATACAGCAGTACCTCTTCACCCCATGCAGTTCTGAGGCCCATCCTACCCCCCACCCCCAGCTTATTTTCTTGCTGCAACATTTTAATTTTATTTTTTTTTAACAGTGAAAAAGAGCTGGAGCTCTTGGTTGCTGCTACTGGAGCTCTAGACCCAGGGAAACAGGTAAGGAATATTAGTATTATACTTTTAATTCAAATGGATCTTTTACTACATAAGGCAGTAATTCTCAATGAGGGTGTCTTTTTTGAGAGGAGATAAGCGAGGTGTAAGGAGATAAGCAGATAAGTGCAGGCTCAAGCTTGTTCCTGCCTGGGCAATCACCTGGTCCCACTGCTAGGCCCCTCTGTAAGAGGTAAGCACTGCAATATATAAATTTGTTTTGAAACTGGGTGCTGCTCAATTTATACAAGTTATGGAGCATGCTTTAAATCCAAAAAGGTTGAGAACCACTGATATAAGGTGCGTTAACTTATTTGGTCATCTAAAAAGGTTTTTATGACATATATAAACCATATAGAAAGAAAAGAGTTAAGACTTTCTTAACTGGGCATTAGTGATAATCCAAATAAACAGGTCTAAGCTGCACCTTGCTCTTTTTTTAATTTAATTATTATGCATCTAAGTCATTGTAATGGTGCCAGCTGATTATTTCAAGTTTTTTAGTTACTTTTATTAGTAAATATGTAATTTCAGAATTATGGGCTCCTATAGCTGTGTGTGGAGCCTGCTCCGATGCACTGGGAATCCAACATGTTGGAGCAGACTCAATTAATCAAGCCTGCTGGAGCACAGAAATTGACATGCTCTGGTAGCCTTCTGCATCACATGTATATCAGCATCTCTGTGCTGAAGAAATGTTTGAAATAAAACATGTTTGATGAACTTAAGTTCAAAGCTCCACCACCATTTTTTTTCAATGCAGGGACAGAGGTGGTGTAGTCACCGTCCTTGGAGGTGATCAAGAGGAGGCTGGACAGGCACCTTGTTGAGCTTGTCTGACCCCAATAACTTCCTGCCCATGGCAGGGGACCAGACCTGATGATCTTACAGGTCCCAGGTTCTAGTTCTACAACTCCATGGTTGATGTATGTGACGCACGGGTGTTTTTTAATTAGCACAGCTCACTAATTAAAGTGCCTGGTGCTGCATTGCAGAGCGCACGTACAGATGTCCTATGTGAACATACCAAATTTTGTATAATTCAACATGTAATGACTTAGAACATTTTGGTTTTACTCTTAAGTAAAAACACCATTTTCTGTTAAATTAGCAGGATATAACTAGCCTGATTATCACATTGTTAGGCAGAAGTCAGGGCAGCTGGCGGCAGCACAGAGTTGCCACAGCCACTCCGCCTAGCTCTGCGGGGCCCCCCAAAGCGCAGGGCCCAGGGCAGTTGCCACAATTCGCACCCCCCTAGGGATGGCCCTGACTTCAGGGATTCTCAAACTTTGTGATACTGTGGCCCCAAGTGTTGGATGGTGGCAGCAAGGGATGAGGAACTCACAGGCGATGGCAGCCGCTGCTGCCATCCACCACTGTGCCGCCACCATGCACCAAGTCCCCGCACTGCTGTGTATATGCCCTGGGAAGCTCGTGCCCCCTTTTAAGTTGCTCACGACCTCCCGGAGGGTTGTGACCCACAGTTTGAGAACATCTGGCTTACCGGATGCCATAGAATCCTTTTACTCTGGAAATCCTGGTGGATGGTTCTTTGTTTTGATTAGACAAATGTAATTAACACAGACTTTAAAATACATTATGCTGTTTTCTGGAGAGCACTGCAGCTAACTCCTTCCATGGATACTGTAGCAGGAGCCATCAGAACTAGGATGAGGACAGGTGCCATTACTACTTCAAAATACAAGGAACAGCCATAAGATACTTTGTCATGAAGCAGCCTAGTTGCTGTGACAGCAGGTGGTTAGCAGTAAAGAGCATGTAGTAGTGAAGCCTTCCATACGCACTGTGTATATCTTAGAGGGATTGGATGGTACTGCTTCTAACAGGAAACTGATAGAACCAGTGTGAGCCCAGCATGATTTAAAATAATTAATTTAACAAGGCATTACAGTTAAGTAGAATTACATTCCTCATTAAGCAGCGGTCTGTGCCTTTAAATGTTGCTAAGTTGAAATTGTTTTTTAAGGAGAAGTTCCAGCTAGGTGGATTTTGCAAGTGAATGCATGCTGGTTAAGAGAAGAGTACATAACTAAGTGTTGATTAATGGCTCAGTAGAGTTCTTTCCAACTTCTATTCCTCTGAGCAGGGTGCAAATTAAGGGGGAGCTGGTGGGGAGGGGGCAGGGGGGGGTGAGCCTCCCCATAAGAGACAAGAGCCCCGCTGTAAGATTTGAAAATCATAACCTGGGGGGTCTCCAATCAAATTGCTGCTTCACTTAAGTGGATGTGTTCATCACTGAACCATTTTAATTTTTTTTTTTTTGCAGACCCCCCACCCCCCAAGAGTTCAAATGTAATTCAAACCCTGCCCCCGAGGGCCTCCCTAGTGAGAGCTGCATACAACATGGCCTGCACCAGTCAAGCTACAGGCCACAGGGACACTCCCTCAATCCCCCACCTCAGTACACCCTTATGTTGTCTGCTTTGCCCCACCCTTGCACCACTGGCATACAGGACACCTGTCTCCACCATTGCACCAAGTGAGTGCAATTCCCCACACTTGGCCCCATTTTCCCCCTCTCTCCTCCCACTCTCCAGCTTGGAGCCCTGTACTCACTCCCATCTCTGTACACCACTTGCCACATTGCCCCATCCCTGGGGGCAGAGGAAGAAAGTGACAAATGGAGGAGGCAGGGGGAGCCTAGAGACCTCAGACTCTGTTGTAGTCAGACTGATTTGGGGAGTTGTGGCTGGGTAGAAGCCCTGGGTCCACAACATAACCCTTTGTGAGCTGTGTGTGGTCTGCAGGTGGCTATATGGACAGCCCTGGTTTTAACAGACTGCTTGTTTAAGAAGTAAACAGTCACTAAAGTTAGCAGGCTTGCCATGCTATAGCCTAAATTTTGAATAAAATAAGGATTGTTTACTTAACCGGCAACTGATAATGCCTTGAGCCCAACTTGGGAACAAATAAAAACCAAACATGTTTTTTTATGAAAAAGTCTTTTAAGTATCCCAGTGCTCAAGGGACCAAAAACAAAAAAAAACTGAAAACAAGAAACCTCCAGTTAGTCATGTTTGTGTGTGTGTGCACACACATAATGTACAAGTATACATGTGTGTGTGTGGAATCTGCTAACATAATTCTAATTATAACTCTGATCATTTTAAAATTTAAATAATATAAATTCAAGTGTTTATTTCTAAAATGGTTTTAAGAATTTAATACTATTCTTTCTTCCTGATTTTTTTTTAAAGTTCTTTTCATAAGTAGATGTGTACTAACTTCATTGTATATACTATCTTGCAGCTAAATGAAGAGGAGGTAAACATTTAACATATTGCTGTGAATATCTAAAATATTATACCCAATTTGGTATATAATTCCCAATTGGATATATAGTATTCAACAGCTGCTGGCATTTTAGTCCTAGAATGCATGTTTATTGAAGAACTATGGTCTTAAGGAACAACAAAATTATAAAATACATCTATTTCTCTTTTGAAATTTATGAATAAACTTTTACTTTCTATTCACATGGTTCCTTTTTTAAACAATATAAGATGTTTCTAACGTGCAAAGCAGCTAATAGGCAACACTTTTTGGGGTCTGTTAGGACAGTTTTTAAAATAATCTGCTTGCATGTTTTGCATTATTTGCATGTTCTTGTCATTTTTTATCGTGAGGCTACTAATTATCAATAAACATTTAAAAACAAACATTTAATCTAAATAGATGCTACCTTTAAAAAATAAAAACTTGGTGTAACTTTGGTAGATGGAAAAATCTAAAAAAAACATATTGGAGGAACGTCTTGTATTCCTTTTAAAAAATGCCACTGTTCTGAAATGTTTATTGGCGTAAGTCTCAACACTTATTTCTTTTGCAGATTTTAGACTGTTACAGAGCTAATGTTCTTCCTTTTGTGAATTTACCTAATATAATAGAATGGGAAGTCTGTTGATATTGAAAACTGGCAACTTGAGATACTAGTGCTAGAGACGGTCATGAAAAGATTTTTGTGTTCTGGTCATTGTCATTTCTTTCCTAGAACCCACAAGAGCTTGATTTTAGTGACTATCAATTTGCACAAACATAAGGTGTATTTTTGACAGTTGTACTAAGAAATTGTAGGCTACTACTAGAAATATAATTAATGGGAAACACAAAATAGTTTAGCACTAAATTCCCTTGAGATTTGGAATATCAAATGGGGGTGACTAACCATATTTTTCTCTTTAGCCTGATAGACTGAAGCAATATGGTTTGACAGCAAGAGCCTCTGAAGAAAAGGTACCACCTGAAAGGCCCAGATCGGCTTTCCAGACACCGCTTCCTGCACCTCCTGTTTCACCAGTGAATGAGGACTTTCACAGGGGAATATCCAGTGCTCTTGGTGAAATAGTAGCTCCCAGGTGCTTGCCTACAATTACTTGGATAAGTAGGGTAGGACAGGGCTGGGGTTAGTTTGTGGTGGGCATGTGGTGCAGCTGGGTGCTGAGAGGGCATCCCTGTGGCCTGCATCCTGAGAACCCTTGGCTCATCCTGGTGTGACTTAAATTGTGTACAGCTCCTGCTGGTGTGTCCCACAGGGCCACTTCTTTAGTTGGGCAGCCCTGGCCTAGGTAGTTGCAGATAGAGAATTTGATGTCATTACAAGCTCTCTACTCTGCTAATTTGCATGGCTGAGGAAGAGTAGGTGGGGCATAGATGGAATTTATTTCTCAGTAGTATGCCCAGATTTGCTCAGGAGGTGTTAATAGATGTGTGCAGTTACACACATAAGTAACATGTAAAGAGTAAACCATGGTGGCACTTTTATCCTTCTCCCAATAAACATCTTAGAATAAAAGCAAATATTTTCAAATCTCTGTTATTAAATTAGCAAGAAATAAAAGTAGAAACAGATGCTCAGGCTCTGTGTATATGAGGAATCTGGGAGGCTTTGCTTAAGTCAAAATAATGTGTCCTCACTACAGGCAGATCATCTGCTGCCTATCTTTTACTGTGGCATATGCCTGTCTACAAGGCACAATCAAGTTCTCGGAGAGAAGTCATAACTGAGCTCATTCTAGAATTCTTTCATACTTTGACTTCTTTTTTTTTCATTTTGTTTTAGCCTTTGTTTTTTTAAATTTGTGCTATAATTTCTCTTTATCTTCCCCCCAAACCTTGTACCTTCCTTTTGATATAGGATTGCACCTCTACCTCCACCTCCACCACCAACTTTGACTGACAATTACAGAACACCTTATGATGATGCTTACTATTTCTATGGGGCTAGGAATCCTTTGGATCCTAATCTTGCATATTGTAAGTTGACTCCTCAAAATGGATTATTTTAAATCAAAGTGATTCGGGTAATTAATTAAATCAACAAGTAAGAAAACTTGCTTAAAATACTTTTTTAAACCCTTTGCACTTCTGTATGTTTCTACTTTTTAGTTATTTTCCTAAGGAAAGGGTGATTCTTGCTGGTTTTCAATCATTAAGACAATTTGCAAGTCAATGTAGGTTTACACCAACTTTTTGTCAGCAAAGGTAACATATTTCAGGAGATACCTAGTTTAATATACATTTATATTGATTCTTAATTCTCACTCCATCCTCATCAATAAATTAAGCAACTGTGGCATTGATGCCTACACAGTTGGATGGGTAAAAAACTGGCTGATGGGGCGCACCCAGAAAGTAATGGTGGATGGGTCGTACTCAACCTGGTGAGATGTGAGCAGTGGGGTACCCCAGGGCTTGGTCCTCAGGCCCACGCTGTTTAATATCTTCATCAGCAACTTGGATGAGGGGGTTGAAAGCACATTGTCCAAGTTTGCTGATGACACTAAGATGTGGGGCGAGGTGGACACACTTGAAGGGAGAGAGAGGCTGCCACTGGATTTAGACAGACTACAAAAGTGGAGAGATGAGAATAGGATGGGGTTCAATGTAGACAAATGCAGGGTGCTGCACCTGGGGAGAAGGAAGCCACAGCATACATACAGGCTGGGGAGTTCCCTTCTTGAAAGCACAGAGGCGGAAAGGGATCTTGGAGTCGTTATTGACCCCAAGATGAACATGAGCTGCCAATGCCAGACCGCAGCCAGCAAGGCCAGCCATACCTTGTCATGCATCCAAAGATGCATCTCAAGCTGGTCCAGAGAGGTGATGCTCCCCCGCTATGAGACATTGGTCAGGCCGTAGTTGGAGTGCTGCATCCAGTACTGGGCGCCGCACTTTAAAAGGAATGTGGCCAGCCTGGAGAGAGTTCAGAGGAGGGCCACCCACTTGGTGAGAGGGCAGCAGGACAGGCCCTGCGAGGAGAGACTGAGGGACCTGAACCTGTTCAGACCTGGCAAGAGGAGGCTGAGGGGAGACCTAGTGGCTGCCTACAAATTCATCAGGGGAGCTCATCAGCAAATAGGAAGAGCCCTATCTCCCCAGCACCACGTGGGGTGATGAGGAACAATGGTAATAAGCTGATGGAGAATAAGTTTAGGTAAGAGATCAGGAGGCAATATTTTATGGTTAGGGTGGCCAAAATCTGGAACCAAACTTCCTAGGGAAGTGGTCCTTGCCCCTACCCTGGGTAAATTCAAAAAGAGGTTAGATGATCATCTGTCTGGGGTCTTGTGAACCCAGCATTCATTCCTGCCTGTGGCAGGGGGTCAGGCTAGATGATCTGTTCAGGTCCCTCCTGCTGCTAGCTACTATAAATTAATTTTTATATTTTATTATGTGAGAAGATGGTGAGGGACATTTCTGATTTACTAGATAAATAATATTTTACTTGTGATTTGTCATTCCTTTTGAATGGAAATTCAAATTAAATTAAAATACAGAAAACTAATGTTTTTTAACATTTGCTTTTAATAACTAAATACAACTATGTTAAATGTGCTTCTGCTTAAGAAGAAAGTTTATTATAATGTTTTGCATTATAGTAAGGCCTTATTATCAATAGTTAGTATGTTTTAAGATATTTAAAACAAAAAAGCTATACACACAGAAAAATTGTCTTAAAATGTGATGTGAGCTATAAATGGGTTGAGATACATAAACTGCGTTGTAAATTGGATGTAATTTGATAAGATTCTTTCCTGTATATGGCCTTGGAAGATGTACACTTCTTTAATCAGTATGCCACAACAGAAACAAGTATAAGCTTTGAGAGAAGAAGAGAGAGAATGCTCTGTTGAGGTGAATATTCTAATTCACAGTGTCAGGCTGTATTAATCTCCACAAGAGGTTCTGGTTGATCAAAGGCTATCCTATTGATGAACAAGGAAAGAATTCTTTGCCTGTTTAGGGTGGCCTGTACAGAGCACCGACATTAGTCCTAAAGTGAAGTACGGATTCTGAATCTCCGTTACATACACTCTGCTCCCTAACGCCCGCTGGGTACTGATTTTGTTTCTGTTTGTGGTCTTGTTTCTCTTCATGGTTCTCTTCAGCCCTTCTGAGGATACAGCAGGTCTTGGAAGAGGTTTTTCCTGAGAGCTAAAGCAGTGATGATTTTTCCAGGAAAACTTTATTCCCTTTATTTCCTAATCATGCCTTTCTAACTAATGTTATTTCAAGAAGCAATGAAGATTTGCTGTCCAAACAATTTAATGCAGTGCCTCACACTCTCTTCCAGAATTTTCCATCTCTGAAAACCAGAAAATAAAGTTAATGTATTCAGTCTTTAGACTGATGCCCCAGTTTTTATTCTGCTGTCTTGGCATGATGGTCCAATCTGCCCCAGCAGACATCATATTCTCTCCTTCAGACAGCACAGCATTGTGTGGATACAAAAGGAGAAATTAGCTTCTGTGTGGGCAGTTATGTCTTGGGCAGGCTGCGAGCACTAACTGGCTGCTACTAGCCTGTACTTGAACTCTTTTTTTACTCTGCAAAAAGGATATATAGAATGTGTAATCTGTATAGAGGTGTAATATGTAAAACCCCCTTGCCCTATGGATTTTTTCTGAAAAATAACTTGCACTCCTCTCTGCTCTGTATGGTAGTTGTATATTACCAGATTGCTACAGATCCCTATAGCAAAAAGTGCTATGCACTTCTACTTCTCTAAAGCATGTAGCTCAGCACAAAAACAAGCAGTTCATGTTCCTTTATATTCAGATGCATCTTTTCTCATATTATAATGTGAGATATAGCAAATTGCTTTGCATATTCCTTAGTGGCAGTCAGTATAGCTATTCCCCAATACAGTGAAAAGCAGTTGACTGCATGTACACAAATAATGCATTTATTTAGTTATTGGTCATATTTGTGTGTTATAGAGCTGAATATACGTAGAGGATATACTTAATGGCTCTTACCAACCCCATGGGACACTGTTGAATTCACAGATTAAAGATAGGAGTGTGTATCTCAATACTGTATTTTCTATTTTTTCACCATTCCAAGTATTAAGTGCAGGTGACAGTATGGAAGGGGTGAAAGGCACTGCTGTAAAATTAAGGCTTGCCTTAACTTAGCTCTGAAACTTTGTTAATGCAATGACTTATTATATTGCCCCCCTTCCGCTGATAACAGTAAATATATGTCAGTGTGTGCATCCTAGATTTAAATGACTTGTCTTTACTCTTTAGATGGTACAGGAATAATGGGAATGCAGCCTACAACTAATCTTGCAGTTCCCTTAGGACAGGTACCAGCAGATCAGTCTGTGTAAGTACTATTGCTGTTCATTTAACATTGTTTTGTCTTAGTTTTACTCATGGGTACACACCTTTGAAGTGAGGTTTATTAAAATAAATTTTCCGAACTTCTGGTTATAAGTTCTTGGCTTAACATATAATTAAGCAATCCCTGCTGTGTTGAGTAGGTGAATTAATAAATAGATGTAGCTATTTACAGAGATGGACAGGCTGTGAAAAAGGATACTTCTCATTTGTCACTTGTATGTATACATTTCAGGCAGAAAATACTTTTTCCTTGCTTTAAATTATATTTTTTTTTACTTTTTTTTTTTAGATTGAGAAGCAACAGTGGACAGAGAAACATAGGGGATAGACCAAAAAGTTTTGGAATATTTCCTGAAGAAAAGGCAAAACCCTCAAAAGAATCATCTTTATCTTATCAGCAAGAATTGCAACAGCAGGTATTAAGTATCCTTAATGGGGTCTGAATTTTTATGTTTATTTTTAATTGTGTTTATGTTCCAGGGTGTAATTCTTGTTAGAACATATTTGGTCAGGGTACAAGTAAAAAATATTTTAATAAGTAAAAGTGTTCTTTCTGGTTAGGGTTTTATTACCAACAGAACCCTGAAGTTGAAGCTCTACTGACAGTTATGTGGATAATGTACATTACAGACCAGTATTTAACATTCTCTTCCTTTGGTTAAACTTTGCTACTAAAATTAATCAGTTAAAGCTGAATTAACACTGAGTTAGTTCCAAATAGCTATTTTCTTGACCATTATGATGCTTAAATACCTTGTTGTAAACTTTCCAGTACAAGGGCAACAGCTATTGCAGTAATATTTACTTCCTTCACAAACTGTAGACCAACAAACAGCAGTATAGAAATGCAGCTCTTTCTGGGAGTTAAAGGTTGTGGCCAGATGGTATTTATTTATTCATTAAGAACCTTGGGTACCATGAACACAAATGAAAAAGACACCGTCCTAGAAGAGCTTGTCATCTGAGAATAGATAAGATCTTTGAGAGGGAGGAGGGAAGGGGATAACAGTTACACCGAGAGCATGTTGTAATTATAAGTTTGTTGCATGGATCTTGGTGATTTAAAATATAATTTGTGATCTGTAGCTGTTTTGTCAAAGAATTAGAATGTTGTCAGCATGCCATGTTGGTGAAGCAGG